AAATTGCAAAAATGACCATTGGGACGATCATCAAACCTATCATCAATCTAAAGTATGCTCCAGAAATACCTGATTTCTCTATTTTTTCTGCTATTAATGAGATAATGGTAATCGCAAAAAATATTGGCACTGCAATAAAAGTCATTAATGTCGCTAGATATTCATTACTCATCCAGAATATAATAAAAACAATAGCTTCTACAGCTAATATCTCTTTTGTGTACCGCATGGTGTCAGTCTTTATATATTTTAACTTCTCTTTTTCCATCCTTTGCAAAACCACGATACATACCTGAAGAATTAAACGGCATTTCGATGTTTCCATCTTTGTCGATCGCAACTAGACCACCTTCACCTCCTTTTTGTACTAGTTTCTCATAAATGATATATTGGCATGCTTCTTTTAGACTTACGCCTTTGTATTCCATCAATGCTGCAATGTCTCTTGCTACAGTATATCTTATAAAATACTCACCATGACCGGTACATGAAACACCACAAGTATTATTGTCTGCATAAGTGCCGGCACCGATGATAGGAGCGTCTCCCAATCTATTAAATCTTTTATTGGTCATACCACCTGTAGATGTACCTGCTACAATATTGCCAGCTTTATCCAATGCCACACATCCTACTGTGCCATGTTTTTTATTTCCTTTTTCATCTTCTGAGAGTTCTGTTTTTTGTTCATCTTCTTTCAGTATTTTTTGAAGGCTATTCCATCTTTTCTCAGTGTGAAAATAGGAAGGATCTACTATTTCAAGTCCACAATTAGCTGCAAATGTTTCAGCACCTTTGCCTATCATCATGACATGTTCGGATTTTTCCATCACAGCCCTAGCAGCTGAAATCGGATTTTTGACAGTCATAATACTTCCTACAGCACCAGCCATTTGGTTTTCACCTGTCATTATTGATGCATCAAGTTCGTTTTTACCTTCATTTGTAAATACTGCACCTTTCCCAGCATTAAATAGTGGACTATCTTCCATGTATCTGATAGTTGCTTCTACTGCGTCAATGCTTTTTCCACCATTTTTTAGGATGGTTTCTCCTATATTTAGTGCTTCATTGAGTGCATCGAGATACAGTTTTTCCGTTGCGGCATCCATGTCTTTTTTCTCAATTGTTCCAGCACCACCATGAATGACAATGGCATATTCAGGTTTTAAGGTGGATGCTGTTTCTGTTGTCTTTTGTTGACAAGATATAAATGAAAGAAGAATAGTTATAATATAGATATGTCTCATTTACAATTTATTTAGAATGTTAAATCCAGTATTTTTGAAATCTGCAAGCTCTTTTATGTTTAATTTAAAGGAAGTGGTTGTGTAATATTCATAATACAATCTTAACCAAAATGCAAGCAAAATGACTATAATCACGTACCAAAGTGGCCATCCAAATACAAAAGCTGCAATAAAAAGTAACTTATAGTAAATAATAAACAACAACAAGTTTCCTATCATCAATATCGATGCTTTAAATTCTACATGTTTGACTTTAGACTTTGTAAATAAATTTGCTAATAATATCGGTAACCCATTAAACAAAATTGATATTAAGGCAGGAATAAGTCCAAGAAACAGTATCATCGCTCTTGAAAAATCAAGGGGATGTTTGGTAAGTTCATGTAAGGTTACCTTCTGCTTTTTTAAGGTTTGTTCTAACGTTTTTATGTCAGATTTTACTTTTAGAAGGGTAACTTCGTCAAGTCCATCTATTTTTTCAGCAAGTTCTTTTTCTTGATCAAGAGGTGTGTTATCATTGATGTGTACAGGTAAATAAGGAATAGAAACCGTGCTTCTTAATATAATTACTAATTTTTCAAATAATTGGATACGATCCTGGTTTTCTATATGTATGACATTTTTTTTCATTAGACGGTAAGTTTCGTCCAATATAGTCTGATGAGTTTGTTTTGGGTCTAGTTTAAATTGTTCTAAATAGTCCTTTACATGGATAGGTGGTCCTACTCGAAGCATGACTGTCCGATTAAATAAAGAAGGATAAGTGAAATTTATTCCAACGGGTATTATTTCAAGATCTAAATTTGGATCTTTTTCAATAGCTTGGAACGCAATCCTAGAAATCCCCTTTTGCAGTGGTCTGAGTTTTTTAATACTTTCGGTACCGCCTTCTGCAAATATCAATAAATTCTTTTTGTCGAGGATGACTTTTATACTTTCGTCCATAGTCTGACTATTTTCTCGCAGTTTTGAAAAACCATCTCTAAATCTAAAAATTGGAATCTGATTGGTCGACGTGAGTAAAGGTTTTAATAATGGATTATCAAATACGTCGCCTCTTACAAGGAAGTGAAGTGGTTTTGGAAAAAAACATGCCATGACCAGAGGCTCTAGAAAACCATTGGGATGATTGCTTGCAATAAGTTGTGCCTTATTGATTTGTATATGTTCAACACCTGTAATATGTATTTTTCTGAAAAATATTTTTAAAACAAATCTGACTAGAACTTTGAGGAAACTATAAAACATCTTGTTGGTTTATCTATTTTTGTGGCGTAAAGCTAATAAAAGCTGAATGTCGAACACAAGAACAAGCAAAAATAAATTTTTAATTGTGGTGGCGGGGCCAACTGCAGTAGGCAAAACAGCGGTAGCTATAGAACTCGCTAAGATATTTAATGCAGAAATTTTTTCAGCTGATAGTAGACAATTGTATCAAGAAATGAATATTGGTACCGCCAAACCATCTGAATTTGAACTAACAGAAGTTAAACATCATTTTATTAATCATATAAGCATTCATCAAAAGTATAGTGCAGGTCAATATGAACAAGAAATAAACAGTGCTTTAAATCAATATTTTGAACATCATGACGTTGCGATTCTTTCAGGAGGTACAGGCCTATATATAAAGGTGTTGTTAGAGGGATTGGATGAATTACCAGATGTCAGTGAAGAGATTTTGGAAAAATACAATCAAAAATATGAATCTTTTGGTATTCAAGGTCTATTAGATGAGCTGTCACTAAAAGACCAAGTATATTATAATAAGGTAGACAAAGCTAATCACAGAAGAATTATAAGGGCTTTATCTGTGATTGAATCATCGGGAAAACCATATTCGTCATTTTTATCAACCGAGAAACAGAAAGTATTACCTTTTAACGTTGTACCTATTCTCCTGGAATTGCCTAGACAAGAACTTTATGATCGTATCAATAATAGGGTAGAGCAGATGCTTGCGCAAGGATTACAAAAAGAAGTGGAACATCTATATGAGCACAAATCCCTTCAAGCGCTTGAAACTGTAGGTTATCAAGAAATTTTTGATTGGATGGATGGGCTCCAAAGTTTTGAAATGGCCATATCAATGATTAAGCAAAATAGTAGGAGATACGCTAAAAGACAGATTACGTGGTTTAAAAAACATGGTGATTGGCATGTTTTTTCGCCTTTAGAGATAGAAAAGATTATTAAGTTCGCGATTAGTGAAGTAAAGAAGTAGTATTAAACTGTTAAAATTATATTAAATGATTTAAGACTATTGACAG